GCAAGAATATAGCAGAACGAAATCGAAATCGATGAGGGAAAAAAACAGGTAAACTTAGATTAGAGCACTGACACAAAAAGCTGGTTCCCTATCGTACGGTGTATCTTATAGATACACGTATGTCACGAACTGGTGGGGTGGCGGCCATCGTCAGTTACATTATGAGTGACGAGGACAGTAGACTCACCCTCTCATACGGCAATGAGGGCGGCCTGCCCTCGCGCGGCAGGCTCTCTGGGAGCTCCCTGCGCGTGGCGTCATACTTGATAAAATTGCCATAATGGTCCCTGTAGCCCTCCGTGGGGAGCGGGTAGTCGCCGAGTTCGCGCGGGTTGGCACGGTCAGGCGGGGCGTACACGACATACTGGTCGTTCGTGAGGTGGTCTCCGCGGCGGTTCCAGTAGCCGTAGCGTAGCGTGCGATTGTACGTGCCGGGCGGCGGCTTACGCTGTTGCGGCGGGGGCAGCGAGAAGCCCGGGTCGCGCCGTTCCTGCGGCGGCGTCGGGAGCGGGTTCGACGACGACGCCGACGAGCGGTGCGTGTGCGTTGACGACGCGGGCGAGCGGCCTTGCGGGGTGTGCGGGGGCTGCAGTGCCGGGGGCACTGCGCCAGGATACGCGCCGCCGTAGTTCCCGCTGCTGCGCCCGCTATTCCCGCTGTTCCCGCTGTGTCCGCTATGCCGGCTAAAGGTGCTGCGCTGGCTGCGCGAGCCGGATGGCGAGCGGTACATCCGCCGCGGCGAGTGGTTGTCGTCTGAGTCCGACGAGTCCGAGGACGACTGACGGCGAGGAGGAACCGGAGGGGGCAGCGCGCGAGCGCCGATGTCGCGGGGACGGTGAGGGCCCGTAGCGCGGGGGAATGAAGAGCGGCGGGGGGCTGCGGGACAGGACGACGGTCGAGGCGGACGCGGACGATTCTGAGGACTCGGATACGGTGCCGATCAGGGGGCTCAGGACGGCGCCAGGCTCCTCTGCGAACTGGTGCAGATTGGGGATGGTCGATGACGACCGACTGGGGTGGTGGTGCGCATCAGGATCGGATTGCACGACGGGCATCGAGTTCTGCCGCAGGACAGGCGCGGGGCGTGGCTGCTCGGGGATTGAATATGAGCGCTGGACTGTCTGTCGTCCTCTTATAGACGACGTGTCATACATGCGAGATGATTCGACACGTGAAGATTGAGGATTCCGCGGCGCGGGAGTCGGGGAACTCGCCCTTGCATGCGCGTTCCACGGGAGGACGCGCGGAGACGGGACCATAGGTGCGACCCCGCTTAGATGTCTATTTGCTGACGCGGACAAACCAGCGCTCCCTTCTTCCCAGGGCGCGACACGAGGCGAAGGCACCATGGGTTGTGAGTCATGGCGATAATGATTGGGCGTGCGAACGATCGCAGGAGAGAATGTCGGACGAAGCTGTTTGACAGACTTGAATGACTCGGGAAGTCCTGGGCGCTGTGGTGTTGGGGCGGGAAGGAAGTGACTCCGTTGTAAAGATTGGGTGCCATGGGCGGGCTGTGAAGGAACGGGAGCAGTTGACGACTGGGATCCAGGAGCGGTGGAGGGTTGGGTATGTGTCGGTGTTGTAGGTTGGTGAGGGTTTGGGTTTGGGTTTGACCGCCGACGAATGTGAGCTGAGAAAACAGTGGCCGGAGGAAGTGTAGGTCTAGAGCCAGCCTCGTTTGCACTAGGCTGCTGTGGCTGTTGCTGCCGTTGCTGCTGCTGCGGGTGATGGTGTTGTTGGTCTCCTGGAACTGAGAAGTAGGCATGGCCCTGTGCCGGGTAACCGGTGCCACTGTGCCCTACTAGACTTGGTTGTTGCGGCTGTGGAGGATTATGATATTGAGCGGCACTACTTGCCTGGGGCGCATCGTCGTCGTCTTCTAGCTCGCGAGGAACCCATGCCCAGGGTGTGTGGGGTGCTTTATCCTTGCTTGCTCCAGGCGCAGTATGCGCGACAGGCTGCCTGTCAATGGACCTAAGTCGGCGACTGTGGACGGTGATAGACAAAGGAGAAGATACGCACTTGATATGCATGTTCTCAAGTCCGAGCCCGTTATCGGTGAGCTGCGTGTCCCAGTAAGATCGTTCGGGTTGCTTTTGTGTCTGAGGGGGGTGATAGTACTGCGGGGTGATCCCCCAGCCAGCAGGGACATTCCAGCCAACTAGACTAGGAGGAGGGTGGCCATGGGGCTGAGCGTTGCCCATACCCCCACCGGGCGCGGTGAACATCCATCTACCGTTCTGCCATTGCTGTGGATTAACTCCTGGTGGCACCGGTGGAACGAAGGACTGTTGGGAAGCAGGATGGGGGACGGGGGCAGCGGCAGAGGCTGGATGAACTGAAGAGATGACGGGGGCCGTGGGCCAGGCCGATACTGCTGGAGGCTTAGGTGCTTGGGCGAATTGGGGACCAGACCAGGTCTGCTGTTGACGAAGTGGTTGTTGGTACATCGAGAGAGCATTCGGGGTGAGCTGTGAGAGAGGAAAGAAGAAAAGGCGTTAGATGAGAACGAAACGGTCGAGAGTTCAAAACGTGCTAACGGTCGGTTTGCCCAAGTGACTCGACCGAGCTGCGCAGACAGACGATGAGTCGGTGGGGTGGACGAGGACGACGAGACGGTGAGTGAGTCGTAAGTGGGATGTTCGGTTTGGTCGACGTCAGTTCCTTAACTCGGTCCCTACAGCACCTGCACAGCACAAAGCTAATAAAATTTCGTGCCGGGCGCTGCAACGGGCGCAACATTTTCATTAACAATGTATCAGGCCTCTAGGGCCACTGGCTTGCTTTTTCTTTTTCTACCAACACATATCATAAGTCTACCAATTCCAATCCTCGTCGTCTTCGTCGTCTTTAGTCTCTGGTCTAGACAGGGGTGGCTGTTTCGAGGGTGTAGGGCGCCTAGATACCACTACCGTGTCGGGCAGGATAGCGTGACCCAGAACGGTGCTTCCAGCTTCATCATCTTCGTCGATCAGTGATTGCATCGGGGATGTAGGCAACACCTCTTTAGGGGCCGAAGGTGCAGGCCCGAGCGCAGAAAAAATAGACTGTGATACTTCCGAGAAAAGTACAGTGGCCCGTTTCTGACTCTTCGAGAACCTGAACACGCAAAATAAAAGGAAGCATCAACCCACGCGGCAAGGTCGAGAGAGTCCTTATCAACTGACGTCTGTCCCCTTTGCAGCTCTGCCAGCCTGGAGCCGACCGAATCCATCAACCCCTGCGCCGCTTCTCCGAGATTTGTGCGGCCGAGTCCCATCGCGCTGAGCGAGTTGATCCCAGGGATCGAAGCCGGCGGGACTGCACCTACGCTCGCGCGTTTCGTCGACGTTGGGCTCGTGCTCGTGCCCGTCAGCGAACTGAGCGCATCCGATAGAGGAACTCGCGCGTCGCGCGAACGCCGTCTCAGTGTCCTGACCGAAGACGACGACGTTGCTCCCGTGTCCCAGACGATGGGCTCCTCGGGCATGTCGGTCTTTTCTTCTGCCACGGACGATGAGGACGACTGCGAGAGACGCGTGTCCGCGCCCGTGCTCGCAGCCGAGCCGGATGTCGTCGTGGCTGTGGAGGACACGGAGCTCGAGGCCGCCTGACGTGCCATGCGCCTTGCAAGGGGCGAGGCAGGGGTAGGGCTGGCCGTGGCGGCTGCTATGGCGCGCACGCCTCCGACCAGGCCATTGAGCTTGGCACCAGAGTTCGCGGGTGGCGAGGCCATCGGCGATGTGGAAGAAGACGTAGGGGAGAGGTTACGCCCGAATTCGCGATGAACGATACGCTCCCACTTTCGCTTGAGATCGGTGAGCTCTGACTCGTGTGCTGCGAGCTGGGAACGAAGCTCGAGGCATTTCGACTCTTTCTGGGCGATAAACTGGAGAAGGTCCACGTGCCTTGGAAGGGAGGTGAGCAAGTATTATTATAGCAGAACGAGAGCGTACCTCTCAGCGAGTGTCAAGGCAGGTGGCTGGTGGGTTGGCCGCTGGGGTATCGAGCCCGTGCTGGCACGAGCCTCTTTCTTGTTGTGCAGCGATACGGTACGTTTTAGGGCGGTTGAGCCCTTTTCTGAGGTACGTGGTGACCATAAACGTGGGCTGTCAGCCGGGAGATATGAAATGGCGGATTGGCGACGCGAGACTGACGGGGACGAGGGGTGTCTGTCCAAGGAGTGGTGGGAAGGTTCTGGGGACGAGATATTTGGCGGAGATGCGGAAACGAGGGATGTTGTGTGACGGTGGTGTGGTCTAGCAGCGATCACTATTGGGTCTAAAGGTGGCCGCTGTGCCTTGGCGGGTGCTTTGGGGGGCATGAGGGCGACAAGAGAGCCTCGCTGCGTCGCGGTGGACGTTGTCAAGGACATTGCGGATGAATTATTGGACGTTTCCAGGCTGCGTACACGCGAAGGGTACATAATGGGTCACGGTGCTTTATTGCCAGCTCCCAACTGAGTCCATCTATCCAACCCCAAAATCTAATGCTTCGAACCCTTCTCCGCCTCTGCAATGAAGTTTTTGATACTTTCGGCCCTGTCAAGTCATCACCGACTTTTACAAACGCGTACAATAAATCGAGAACATACAATTCTTCCTCTTCCCTGCAATGACCCGAGTCAGACCTCTGGCATGTACACGAGGGCGAAATGCAACTCACTTGGAGCTTGAGTCGATCTTCACAGAATCCTTCACCTCTTGCAGGGTTTTTTTGGAGCCTGAAGCCGCCTCGTTGCTTCCGCCTGAAGCGGCGGCGTATGACAACCCGACGGTGCTGAGGAGCGTGCCGAGTGCAAGGTACTCGGTTTTGATGGCTCGGCCAAGGATTGTGCTAGTAGGAATAATCAGTCAGCGCGAGACAAAACGCTTGAGAGGGTGAAAAACTTGCTAGGACATAGCGGCGAAACTGGTGGAGGTGGGGACGGCACAACCTCGCTCTCTTCCTTTACAACCCGGCAATGTCCGCCCTCCCTCGGCTGAGTGAAACATCTTGTTACGTGTAAACTTTTGTGGGGCCGCCTGGCGAAATGGCATCGCGTCTGACTACGAATCAGGAGATTGCAGGTTCGACCCCTGCGGTGGTCATCCGAATTATTTTTTTTCTTTTACAAAACAACCACTCCATGCGTTCAACTCAAGTCATTCGTTTTCCCGAGAAACTGCTCTCGAACGTGCATCGCGGAACTGCCTTTGAAAAACGCGCCTTGTCTCTACTCACAGAACATATGTCCATGTCTCTTACGCGAGTGGGAGGAAGCAACGACGGAGGCGTCGACCTAATTGGGTGGTGGTGGGTCCCTGGCGGTGAAAAGCCTACTATGACATGTGCGTGTCCTGTGCTATGCGCTCCTCCGCCCGTGGCTAGCCCATCGCGTAACTCTGGTCATATGCCGTCACAGGCTCCTCCCAGCGTCCCAGAAAAGCGTGGAGAGTGGGGCCTGGGCAATCGTCGAAGACTACGCGTCCTCGCCCAATGCAAAGCCGAAAAGAGGAAGATGGGGCCTGGGTATCCTACGTGAGCTCGAAGGTGTCGTCTACAGGCACGCCGCGATCGCCTCCGACCTCGCCTCTGGAGATCTACCGCACCACGACGACGCGCCCTGCGCACGCTGGGGGTGAGCCCCCACCAGTCGCGCTCCTCGTCTCCGAATCCGCCTTTACGCGCGGCTGCCTCCTCGCCGCCAACGCGTCGCCCCTCCCATCCCTCCTGGTCCATCTTCCACCAGGTGGTGCGCTGGGCGCCATTTTTGGGAATCCCGCGCTCGTGTCCGCGAGGGGCGTGCTGAAGGGCGAGCTCGAAATCCGCTGGGAGCACGGCGTGCCGTTTGTGGGCAATGGGCGCCCCAGGCTGTGGTGGCAAGGACGGCCGCTACCCAGCTGGACCCCAGACAACGCTAACGCCGACGCTACCCTGCTTACATAGGGCCCTATTTTCTCCCAAGTCCGCCGTGCATGCCCTCGTCGTTTGAGGTCGTGGAGATTAGCCGAAGGATGGGGCGAATGCCAGTGGCTCTGCGCGCTCCTCCTCCATTTTCCTTCCATCAGAACCCACAAATTGCGTAGCCCTGTCGATAGAAAGGGGGGCCGTAAATACATATGGCAGTGGTAATATTTTTCACATGCCAAACACACTTTTCCAAAGACCCTCGATGTCGAACGGGAAAATATCACAACTTGCGGTCGCTCCGGCTATCTAAACTCGGCGGCAAAGTCTTTCATGGAAAACTTAAGCTGTATAAATTGTTGGCGATTCCAGTTTGGGCGTACTTGATCTCCGTACTATTTATAGCTATGGCGACTTTTCTCATGCCCCTCCCGAAGTTCCTGATTCCGGCCTCCGTCTTGTATGTCTATCTCTCTAAGCAGCCTCGTTCACGTTCTCTCCCCGAGTTTCCTGGTGCTGTGCCGCCTTGGCCTCACTATATCGCATGACCCGCAGGTGCTGCGACGGCGGAACCGCCTTTTCCTCCAAGGCCTGTGGCATCCCCCCATGCAAAACCCCGACGCGCATCATAGAGAGCAGCTTCGGAACCCGCCGAGTTGTGGTCAGCACAGCTTCGAGAACGAGGTACACACAAACCACACTTACGTTATGTGCGGCGTTCGAGTGTTCGTATACTCCACCGAAGAAAGCCGTGGAAGCATCTCTACCAATTTGCTTTGCCAAGAGATGGCGGCCACCGGGGTGCTCGTCAAGGAACGCGCCCACATCGTGAATGAAACCGGAAATGAGAACCAAGGGCCGGGTTTGCGACTGCTCCTGGACTGCGATGTGTCAGTTTTGCCCATAACCCAGACATAACGTGTGAGAGGGATCAGAACACCCACAGCTCTGGTAAGAGATAACGGGCAGGTCAACGTTATCCTTTGGCCAAGTCACGCCATCCTGGATCCGACGAAGGCGTTTGAGCTCCATTGTAAGCTGGCCTTTAGTCACCTCATTATCCGGGAACACCTGCGATGACTGATTCAGCCGGAAAAGTCACAAGCGCTGTTTGCTTTTTCGGACCGACCTTCAGATGAGACGCCAATCCGACTTTGGCGCAAAGCGTGATGAACCATTTGGTGGGGTCGTACTGATACCACCGGATCGCGTTGCGATAGTCGGTCGGGAACTGGTGATGGAAATTGTGGTATCCTTCTCCGAACGTGACGAGCGCAGTGACCAGATGATCCCTCGGCGAATGCTTATCGTCGAACGGCGCCTCCCCGAGCCAATGAGCGAGCGAGTTGAGCGCAAATATGCTGTGGTGCACCATGCACATCCGCATCGCCCCCGCATAGACGTACCCGCCCCGCCAGTCGCCCCAGAAATACCCGGGGACGGTGGTCGGGATGGCAAAGCCCACGACGAGGATCAGCCACACGTACCACCGCTGCTGCCAACGCACGATCGCGCTCTTGCTGAGGTCGCTCACGTCCGCGACGCCGGGCTTGCGCCTCGGCTTGACGAGCATCCAGCCGACGTGGCACCACCAAAAACCGTGGTTTGCATCGTACGGATCCAGGTCGGTGTCGATGTAGCGGTGGTGAGCACGGTGCCCACGAGCCCACCATCTAATAGAGCCCTGGGCGGCACCGGCGCCTGCCAATGCGAGGAACACCTGCAGGGGCTTCGAAGCATTGTAAGAGCGATGAGACCAAAGGCGGTGGTATCCTGCCGTGATGCCTGAAGGAGATCATGAGAACATTGGATATAACGATACGAAAAGATACAAACCGAGCCCGGTGAAGAAATAATAGAATACCGCAAACACGGCGGTTGCCGGATGAAGTTTGGTGGTCGTGGCTCCATAGATGGCGATAGATGGGCTGATAGTGAGAATGGCGACACTGAGATAGTTCAGCTCCTTCCACCAGTTATTCCAGGTAACCGGTGGAAGTGACTTTTCATTCTTGAGGGCGTGCTCGATATAGTTGTCCGGTATATGCATGTCGGCTGGTTCCTCTTCGGTGGTTCCACCCTTCGTTCTGGTGGTTGTTTTTGTGATGGTAGGAGTTAACATGGCTAGCAGGAGAGCGAAGCAGCTCGAACAGAGCGATGTCTGGTGATAACACAAAGTCCTCTGTGCCTTTTATAAGTACTGCTCCGACCAGACGTTGGGGAAAATTTGATGAGAATCACTCAGCCGTATAGCGTTCTGCACCCCCAAGCCGCGCGTCGGTGAGCAATGCAAACCGATGTATCGTAAGCATCAAGGGTAATATCGACGCGAGGGGATGAAGAAGTAGAGACAACATGTATGGGCATCTTACTGATGGGGCAACAACGGCGAACCTAGGGAGGTAAGGTGAGAGACTTGGTGTCGGCGCCAGCTGGGCCAATAACTCGCCACAAAGCGCGCGCTTGGCGAGCAAGGATTCGTCGCTTACACGTGCGACCGCCATTCGGCCCTCATCGGTCGCCACTCCAGGTGATGAAAAATATTGTGCACGCGGTCTAGACGATGCGCGGATTCAGACGCGGCGCCAGCCAGCCAGTCACTATACAAAGGAAAGCGCCGAAGAAGACGACGGTAACGAGAGAGAACACTTTCATGGAAGTAAGCCAATAAGAGGGTGGGACGCTCAACGAGCTTAACAATGCTTGAAAGAGCTTTTGGGGTACTTCTACAGTTCGGACCACTGGAAGCGTGCGAGTGGGCCGCCATGTATCCGAAAATGATATCGCGCCAATCACATTCTTATTCGTCTGTAGAATCTGAATACAATTCATTCAACACTCTTCTACTCGAGAGATAAAAATAAAACCACCTTGCACCGTACCCGTGTGTCTCAAAGCTTCCCCAAGGGGCAGCATAGATTTACAGCGATAAGCATCGGAAGGGGGAGTCGAGACGTAAAGAGAAGACCTTCACTGAATGGCCGGCCATGAACGGTATGTGAACAACTCGGCGACTTGATTTTTTTCAGAATACGTCATACGCTTGGATATTTGTAAGCCAATTCCTACCTGCCCTGCCCGAATGGCTCTGCTGCGCGGGAAAGTCGCTACCCAGATTCGTGGAAGGTTGCATGGTGGTGGGAGCCGCTCTGGGTGAGTAACCCAACGCAGACGCCTGTATGAAACGTGACCGAAACGAAGAACAATGGCCGCAAAGGACTGGATTGGACGGATCGTTGCGGGCTTGCTGTGAATTGAATCCAACCCACATGCAACTGCGCCGACCACTACAGTACGGCGACGCAAAGAACGTGACGTGATTTCCCTGTACAGAATCTGGTCGAGGGGGTCGGCGGTGGTCGGCTTGATGGTTGGGCGGCAGCTGTCGGACACAATTACCTGCGAATCCAATACGGCCAGAAAACACTTGTTGTAGTTGCGTGTGAAGTTCCGTTGAATAAAACAACGTAATGGCCACCTCGAGATACGTTGGTTGGTTGGGCACTGACAGACGAGCTCGAGGTATGACACTCATTTGATCAGGCTATTGCGGTTACCGGGGCCCGCTTGCATGCTCGTGGGACCGACAGGCGCTTCACGATAGATCCTCGTTGGAGTAATGAGGCCAAGGCGTCGTGGCAACTGCACCCAAGTTGCATGCTAGAGATAGGATCAAGCGTCAGGCCTCGTCAGGGGGTAGGGGTAAATCGATGATTGGAACCAGCACAGCCGAGGAGCGCGCGTAATGGTTGACTCCGAAGACCTTGCGAAAGGCAACAGTGAATGTAGGACTCGGGGTGATACTACGACGGATACTAATTTACCGAGGGCTCAGGGCATCCGATACGAGTAAGTTAAGTGCAATATCCTAAATAGTCTACCAACCTCTTGATTGGAGATTTCCTGTCTTGGCATTGCGAGTCGAACATGCGCTCTTCACCCTAGTAATGCTCCCCAGTTAGACCCGGGCTTTTTTAATGGTGGTACTAACACGCTTCTAGAGACCACATGGTCTTACATTCGCCTGTTGGGTTCAGGCTACGCTATCCAATCAGGAGGGCCAGGAGGGCGAACGGGGTTTACTACATCGCCCTGTCCAATCGATAAATGCAAAGCGTGCACTACAGTACACCATCACAATTTGACTATTTGATCGCAATGAGTAGGCCGAATTAGCTCTTTATTTTTGTAAAATGACAAC